TGGGTTTGGATTGAGTAATAGTTTTTTTATCTTTGGTTGGCATAATTATCTTTTTTTAGTGTGTTCTTCTCCTCTTCTTAAAGGTTGCTTTTTCTTCCTTCTTTTGGTATCTCGGGTTTTTTTAGTCATATTAAATAATATTTACAAGAATTTTCCTGCGGTATTTGTCAGAGCAATTATCGTCTCTGAGTTAGCGATTACGCTAATGAAGTTGAAAAAGAGGAATATTTTTAAGAAGGAAATAATCAAAGATTATTTATTTCCCAGCGGTTAGGTTGGAGTCTAACCGCCTACGGCTTAAACTGCTGGTTAAAAGCCATGGAGCATTTGGAATGTCCGGAAAGGGAGGATTAGTCCTCCTTTTTTTCTCTACATTAAATTTTAATTGTCTGGGGAGTTGGATTTGCTTGTTTTTATAAGTTTATGTATGAACTCATGCTAATGCTTATGTTAAAACTCATACTTTTTGCCCTTAAATACTAAAATATATTATATAGGTTAGGATTTCCCTTTCGAGGGAAATTATCATAAATGTATAAAAATATGGTAAAAAAAAAAGAACTAGTTCAATACGATGCTCTAAGTATTGCTAAATATTTGCTTTCATTAGATAAAAAGAGGGAATATTTTGTAACCGGTAAAATGCCAAAAATAAGTGGGATTGCTATTCCTACTATCGGTAACTTTCGGTTAAATAAATTATTACATATCTCCCAAATTCTTTATTGTGCCAAAGAAGGAAAATATTTGTTTACTGACCCACTGATGGCTTTTGAACACGGAGGAGTGGTTTATGAAATTTATCGGCAATTCCATTTTTTGGTTAAGCAACCTGATGATAAAGTTAGTCATCTTACTCCTTCAATAAAAAGTTTTTTGGATAAAATTTTTCATTACTTCTATAAGTATCGTAATGAAGAGTTAGAAAAATTTACTCATTCTGATCCAGCTTGAATTAAAACTTGAAATCAAGAAGGCGGTGAAATTAAAGAAATGCCGCAGAGTGAGAAATTAATCAACTTTTACCAAAAATCCGCTTCCCAATTA